ATCATATAAGGCTTATATGATTTACTCATGAAAGTGGCCACTTTCTCATTACTTTCATATATTGTTTTAATAAGTATCCAAAACAATCAAGTTTCATTTATATAATTTTTCAAGGGATCTTATATCTGTTTTCAGTCTTGTATCATTTTCATATGAGTTTCACACAAGACAGATACAAATTTTATAAGATTTATATATCTTTTCCATATGGGTAATGTGTACACTTACAGCTGCATTTTTATTTTGTTAAATACAAACAAAATTATAGCAGAAGTGCTGTCACATGTCTGGCCAAAAGAGAGTAACAATTTGTTTATTTGGTACTTCAATGAAAAGCTTAATTTAAGAGTTTGCAGTTTTGTCTAGTTATACAATATTTGAAATTAAAAACACAAACAAACAAATAAAACAATACATTTTGGTGGGTGTTTTCTTGTTTGTTTGGTCTTTTCTTTTATACTACTTGAACACTAAAGTGGCCCTACAGTGAGATGACAGTGCCAGCAGTGGCCCACAGCTCAATTAAATTTGAGACCGCTGCTCTAATGTAAGCGTCTTGTTAATGTTGGTGAAGTCAGTTACACAGTGGACCCTGGGCCAGCAGTGCACGGGCAGGAATGCATTTCTTACTTGGAAATTTGGAGACCACTTTACATTTAAAGAACAAATGGATGGGCAAACTCTGCCAGTAAACAAGCTTCTCTCAGCTGGAAGTAAGTTCTTTTTAAAAAACTAATGTTAGCCTACCACAGCTACCTTGTTTTAGTTGTGGTAGCTACCTGGGTTATGTGCCACTTCAGTATCTTCGATCTACTTTTGCTGTGGGATTTATTACTATTACTGAAGGCTGCATTACAACCTGCTAGCTGCAAATAATCATGTGCAGTTCTGAACACAGACAAAAAGAAAACATATCACTGATACAGAAATAGTTTCCTATACGAGCTCTCTGCAAAAAGTGCAGCATTACCTAATGTCCACCCTACTGTTACTCATTTTATATTAAGATTTTAAAAATCTAGTTGGTATTGGTATGGCGAGTAGCCTTCAGTAATAGTAATATATCACACAGCAATAGTACATTCATGTAGTTGTAAAAAACATAGTAATATATTAAGCAATACAAAGTATTCAGAATATGTTACTCTCATTGAGTAACGTAACGGAATATGTTACCAAAATACATTTTGGGGCATGTATTCTGTAATCTGTAATGGAACACATTTTAAAAGTAACCTTCCCAACACTGGGCGTGTTTATAGTGGAAAGTAGATATACACCTGAAGGGTGGACTCTCACCGGCTGACTGTAAGCTGACAGTTGGCTAACCTCTGGCTGAAAGTGGCAATTTTGAGTGGCTGTATCTGTACACACATTGATAACCTATCATGGGTGATGTCCATCTTCTATACTGACACTACACTGTTATACTGTCTTTATACTAGAGTATGAAATTGGAATTCAGTGAATGAATCCAAGCATCATCTTAAATCAAATGAATCTCTTCTACACTTGATGTAACCTAACTCTGTCCATGGGCACCACAGACACTGTGCAACAGTCCAACACAGAGATTTACTGTGAATTCAACACATGAATGCAAACTAACCTGTTTATCCTGCACAAAACTACCCAATATTTGCAACATTTGAATAACACAAAGTTAGTAAAATAGTAAGTTAGTAAAATGAAAGTACATAGTTTATCTAGACATATCATTTGCAAATACAATATGTGATTAAACATTTGTGATGACACTACACGCAAGCTTTTAATTTGAAGTTTATCACTGAGCAGTCCTTACCTTTAAATCTAACCTCTCCTCTTCCTCTCCTGTCCTGTCTGTCTACATCTTTCAGCATCTCCGAGTGAAGTTAATCTTGCACTCTTTTGTCAAAGGAGCTTGCAAAGAAAAGCGTCTGGACTTCTTTAAGTTGCTTGAAGACGTTTCACCTCTCATCCAAGAAGCTTCTTCAGTTCTAAGGTCAAATGGTGGAGAGTCCCAGATGGGACTGTCTGGGACTGGAGGTGGCAGTCTGGGACTCCCCACCATTTGACCTTAGAACTGAAGAAGCTTCTCGGATGAGAGGTGAAACGTCTTCAAGCAACTTAAAGAAGTCCAGACGCTTTTCTTTGCAAGCTCCTTTGACTACGATGACCTGGATGACTGAGAACCTTCACAGACACTTGCACTCTTTTCTCTCCCTGTGAAATACAGCAGCTGGATGTTTAGCTATCACCACCAGTGCTGGTCAAGTTACTTGAAAATAGTTAATGATGACTTCCCGAAGAAAGTAATCCCATTACTTTACTGATTACACATTTTCAAAAATAATTAGTTACTTTATTACTTAGTTACTTTTGAAAAACATGATACATAACCTGAATACCTAATAAAGTAATAGACCTTTCAGCCCAATTATATTTTTTTGCATGTCAGTGGGGGGGATCCAGGAGTTTCTCTGTGAATTTCACATTCCCGTGGCAGCGTGCTAGGTGCTTGCTCAGATTTGAAGTTTAATTTTCCGCTGTAGAAATAAGTTTTATTCCCACGCAGAGTGTACAGCGGATGCTAATGTTTTTGTCACTTTTTACGGAATCAAACTCAAAGTAATGTAAGTACTTCCAAGCTTTAAATGCTGCATGGTTGTACTCTCTTCCTCATTTCATATTATCCATTGTTGATCTGCACACGTCTGTTGCTGCCAAGGATGTCCTACGCTTGTACGTCATTGTCATGAAACACTCTCACAAACAAAATCAGGGTTTAGTAACGCAGTAACGCAGTGTGCTTACGGGAAAGTAACAGTAATCTAATTACTTTTTTGCAATAGCAATCCCTTACTTTACTTGTTACTTAAAAAAAAAAAAAATTGGATTACCCCTCTCTGGTCACCAAAATGTACGACAAGCTGCCAAAACTGTGTGTTTGCTGATGTTTATTGAACTGAAAGAAATGCTGAATTTGAAATTAGCTTCCACTTAAAAAACGCCACTCCCTTCCTGCCACCTCCTCTTCAGTAGCGCAAGCTAGATCCTGCACCTAGTAAACTCAGGCAGATAACAGGGGAAAAGAGAAAGAAAGAAAATGAGAACAATAACTAGAATAAGGAAAACACAAGAAATACAACTTAAAAAGGAATTTTGCAACACTTGTAGATAATAAATAACCTGGAAGTTATTTATTCAAACCCCGTATTTATTGATAAGACCACATATTAAAACTGAGAAATATAATGGGGATTTTCTTTAAAAATATCAGAACAGGAAAATGTTTACTGTTACTACACAGTGCAACTAGTGTGGCTAACATTATCATTAGGTTTTTATTATGTGACCTCCGGTCAGAGCTATGTTGACACTATAATGATAAAAGAGATCAGAAATATCTAAAAACTTATAACTCTTTTATATAAATGACCATTTCTGTTGGCATAGAAAACAAGTATGAAATGGTTGACCAGATACTGCCTTTAACATGCTAAATTAAAGATAACACTTGTGCTGAAATTGAGAAAAAACAACCAAATGCCTTATTTTTTCTATCCCGCACTCATTAATGTGCAAGTCAGTGAATCCACGGTCAATGTACAATTCCTATCTTCTACTCTCTGAACTCTTCTGAGAAGGGGAAAGTGGGCAGGAGGTCAATAATTTTTACAGTTACCAACACTGAAGCCGCCTGTTTACACATGAACCAAAATCAAGGGTTATAAAACATGTATGTTACATTGAGCTGAAAGATACACTTTATTATTAACTTAACTGATCTCTGTAAAATAACTATAATAACTAATTGGATGATTGAACAAAAAAAAAGATGATTACAAAATAAAAAAGGAAAAGAATGAATTTAATTAGGAAACAAATAAAAACGTGACAAATAACATGAAGTCATAAAATTATGAAAAAATGAGAAACATTTAATGAACATCCATAGCGCCTCTATTATGTTATGTAAAATTATTCGTGATGCATGTAACTCATTTACAAGTGAAAGAACCTCTGAATCTGGAGTTTGAACTTCAGATTCAGAGAGTTAGGCAAACTAGACTAGATTTCAAGAACAGTCTTTCTGTGGGCAGGCTAGACAGCAGTTGGATCTCTCAACCCAAGGTAAGGAATTTCCTAAAACACTGTCCTTTAATGTTGGTGTCTATTTGGTTAAAAGGATCATGTAAATATTCCAGTGCTTGCAAGTGATGTATAACTCTACATATTTGGC